TTTTAACATAATATAGTATTTCTACTATTTTTTATAGTACTGTTAACCAGTATTCACCACATTTCTGGAGGCTGTTTTCTGTCTGTGAAGACAGGGCAATACTGGTTGACTCTTTGTGGTCTTTATGATTCCACAGTTTTGCTACTAAACCCACCATGGTCTTGCTTTCCTGGGCCCTAAGCGCCCAAACTGTGGGAGAACCTGATCCTCTGTTGTCTTAATTTGAGGTGCACTGATGGAAATGTGCCCAGGGAGAATGAACACAACGACACAGAGGCAGTGAGACTAAAGTCATTTTTACGCTTGGCCCTTAAAATGCTTGTGAACCAATCTACTGTCTCATAGTTAAAATACTGAAGGACTGCATCACCTCATTAATTTAACAAGAAGTACATTTTACAATCAACGTATCTTAAAGTTGTCAGCTGCCTGGGTGGGCCCACTTCCAATCCTGGCCCACCCATGAAAAAAAAAAATCTTGTTATAATTTTTTTTTTTTTTTAAACGGAATCTCACTCTGTCGCCCAGGCTGGAGTGCAATGGCGCGAACTTGGCTCAGTGTGACTACCACCTCCCAGGTTCAGGCAATTCTCCTGCCATGTTGGGCAAGCTGCTCTCAAACTCCTAACCTCAGGTGATCCACCCACCTCAGCTACCCAAAGTGCTAGGATTACAGGCATGAGCCACTGCACCCAGCCAGTTATAATCTTAATGTTTCTTAAATTTATGAGAGGCCACTTGCTCAGTATCAAAGGTCAGCATATCATTAAATGAGCTTTAAACATTGTATGCATGTATTTATTTATTTGAGACAGTGTCTTACTCTGTCACCCAGGCTGGAGTGCAATGGCACAACCTGGGCTCACTGCAATCTCTACCTTCTGGGTTCAAGCGAGCCTTAGCCTCTTAATTAGCCGGGATTACAGACATGCACCACAATATCCAGCTAATTTTATATTTTTAGTAGAGATGGGGTTTCGACATGTTGGCCAGGCTGGTCTCTAACTCTTGGCCTCATGTGATCCACCCACCCCAGCCTCCCAAAGTGCTGGGACTACAGGCATGAGCCACCACATCCAGCTTCACCTTTAAATATTCTAAATGAAAACTTCTGCAGCCTGGCTTTATGGGATTAGAATATGGGGCCATAACTACTCCTGTGGGTAGAGACAACTCCAGGTTGTGTTTGGAGGAAACCGTTGGCCCCATTCACAGGTGTACCACCAGCCAGCACTGGCAACGGAAGAAGGCTCCATCAGCCTGTTTTGTTTTCTCTGAAGTCATTCCTACTCATCTCTTGGCCAGACGGTCTGCCCAATACCCACCCTTCTAAGGGAGAAGAACCTAGACCTCCTGGTTCTTAGATTCACATCAAACCCTCCACTGAGAACACTATTGACGGAAGACTGTCAGTCTACTAGAAATTCTAAAACCCACCTAGATCATCTCCTTTCAGTCCTCTCCAGCTACAAAGTATTTGACTAGTCCTTTAGGGATATCTACGTTATGCAACATTATCAGAAACAATGCTTTGATACTTGTGTTTGTTATTGGTAAAGCTGTTAAGTTTGCTATGTTATAGTGTTCTCTTTATGGGAACTAGAGGGAAAGGTTCCTTAGATCTCCAGATTAGGTGTGGCGGCCTCAGGTTTATCGCATGGAGTCTGGACTTGATCTTGTTTCCCTCTTTACACTGACTGCTAGGAAACAAAATTGGTTATTTATCCTTAAGTTTGTAAGACCTCCTGTAACGCAGTTTGTGTGGATAAGGTTACTTTCCTGGGCTCAACTTATTTTTTCCTTTTGCCCAATTTCCTTACTTAAAATCATGTAATTTTTGTATTTTTGTAAGTTGTCCTTGAACTCTTTGGGGGAGAATTTTAAATAGAAGAAAAACTACTTTCTGGTATTAGCCTTCAGAATAGAGGATATCCTTATGGGGACAGTGACTGGAATGAGACACAGAGGTGGGGAGGTTTCTGGGGTGCCGCTGGACGCATCACACAGGTGTGCTCACTTTGTGATGCCAATGAGTTAAATATTTATGATTTGTACACTTTTCCATATGTATAACTTTTATGCTCAAAAAATGAAGATTGAGGGAAATGATACTTATGTGCCATATATATGTACTTCCTTTAAGCCTCTGAACACTTTTGAGTTAGTAGTTATCCCCATTATAAAAACGAGGAATGTGAGGTTCAAACAGGTTAAGGAATGGGGCCAAAATTCCAAGTAACTTCTGATAACAAAAGCACAGGCTTATCTACTATACTATACTATACTATACTATACTATACTATACTATACTATATTGCTCCTTGCTCTTTTTTTTTTTTAATTGCAGACAGGGTCTTTCTCTGCACCCAGGCTATAGTGCAGTGGAGTGATAATGGCTCACTCCATTGCTGCAGCCTCCAACTCCTAAGCTCATGCAATCCTTCAACCTCAATCTCCTGAGTAGCTGGGACTACAGGCGTACACCACTACACCTGGCTAATTTTTTTTTTTTTTTTCCCACAGAGATGGGGTCTTGCTACATCATCCAAGTTCCCACTTTTCTACTTTAAATGGCCTGTCTTTATCCAGCTTAGCCACTAAAATCCAAGAAACACTGGCCAGACTTAGCAGAGACACAGGTGAAAGGACTTCTGTGGAGGGGACAGCGTCTGGAGCTGAAGCTAAAGTGGGATTCACTTGGTGGACGGGGCTTTGGGAGAGAGCACTGGACTGAAAGCGGGGAACTTGAGGCTGCTTTTGGGCAGGGATGGACTCACTGTGAGAAGGCCAATGGGGCCCCCTTTAGGTCCTCTTTCTTTATAAGTTCCATCAGCGCCTTCCAAGAAGTTGAGGACTCATGGCAGAATCACAAAGCCCAGCAAGCACAGTCTGAGCCCTGCTGCCTGTCCCTCTTCTCTTCAGGAGCCAGGAGGATTTATTCTGATTGTACAGTGACTATGACTATTATCCAACCCTTCAATCTGGGACCCATCCTCCAGATGTGGTTGGAGTTGAAGGGCCCAGGCCTGCTGCACGCAGTCCAGTCACATACTCAAGACAGTGTTCTCACAGCCTTCTACAGAAAGGCAAAGAGAAGTTTACAGGCTTAACTCTTGTGAGCAGAACAAAACAACCTGGATTTTACTTCATAGAGGAAAAGTAATTATAAGGCAATGATTGGGAAACAGGTCAGTACACCAACTTAGGGATTTCCCCATATTCCACAACACTAGCTACATGGTTTTGGGCTCATCATTTACCTTTTGCTACTGCTTCCTCATTTACTAAGAGGGAGTTGGAACAGTCCATTCTAACGCCCCTCTCGACTCTGAAATTCTAACTCTAAACTAGACACCAGCCATCTTCTCAGAGAAACAGCACTGGACAAACGGGGCAGAGGGGAGGACAGGTGGTGGCCATCCCCTCTCTCTCCCAGGGCAGTCTGGCAAGGAACTGGCCCAGTGATAGGGGGGTCTCAACAATCAGGCAGAGAGCCATGGAGAGTTCTTGAGCACAAGACAGAGCAAAAATGGTATTTGTGGAAAACTGGTTTTGAGAAATATATAAATGAACTAAAGTAGAGACCAATGGGCAAATACGACACTGGAAAAAGAAGAAAAGAGAATAATCCTTTAGGCTAAAAATATATATGAGTATCTTATTTTAGTCTACTTGGCCTCATTTTTCTCCACGCTGTCCATTTGACATGCTGCCTGGCGGAGAGGAACACTCACAGAGTCACATGAGTAATGACAAGGATCTCTACATGCTACAGACTCCTTAGGCTTTTCTTTGTGGAATTTTACAGTGAACAATATGGCTAAATTATGTTATTCTATAAAACTTTCATTACTTTTCAGGCCTTGAAGTTTTATTTACAGGTCCTTAACACACACACACATACACTTCCTATTTTTTAATACAAAAAGTACATAGTAGTTCCCCCTTATCTGCGGGAGGTATGTTTCAAAACCCCCAGTGGTAGCCTGAAACCACAGACGGTACCAAAACCTAACAAAAGAACAATTTTAAAAATATACTGTAATAAAGTTATGTGAATGTGATATCTCCTTCAAAATTTTTTTTTTTTTTTTTTTTTTGGGAGACAGATTCTTGCTTTGTCGCCCAGGCTGCAGTGCCATAGCATGATCTCGACTTACTGCAACCTCCACCTTCCAGGCTCAAGCCATCCTCCCACCCTAGCTGGGACTACAGCCACTTGCCACCATGTCTGGCTAATTTTTGTATTTTCTATAGGCACAGGGTTTCACAACGTTGCCCACACTGGTCTTGAATGCCTGGGCTCAAGGGATCTCCTGGCCTCAGCCTCCCAAAATGCTGAGGTTATAGTCATGAGCCTATAACTTACTTCAAAATATCTAAGTAACTGACTGCTGTTGAAAACAGGTAATTGAAACTGTGTTAAGTGAAACCATGGATAAAGGGGGACTACTGTACATACTCATTAAAAAAAATTAAGGGCCAGGCATGATGGCTGACACCTGTAGTCCTAGCTACTCAGGAGCTTGAGACAGGAGGATTACTAGAGCCCAGGGAGATCAAGGCTACAATAAGCTGCAATCACACCATTGCACTCCAGCCTGAGCACCACAAGGTCCTGTCTCAAAAAACATATAAAGTAAAAAGAGTAATTTTATTTATTTATTTATTAAACAGAGTCTCACTCTGTTGCCCAGGCTGAGTGCAGTGGCATGATCTCGGCTCAATGCAACCTCCGCCTCTCAGCTTCAAACGATTCTTCTGCCTCAGCCTCCCGAGTACCTGGGATTACACACACCCACCACCATGCCTGGCTAATTTTTTTGTATTTTTAGTACAGATGGGGTTTCAACATGTTGGCTAGGTTGGTCTCAAACTCCTGGCCTCAGGTGATCCTCCCACCTCGGCCTCCCAAAGTGCTGGGATTACAGGCATGGGCCACCGCGCCAGGACAAGAGTAATTTTAAATTTCCTCTTCAAGGGGAGGTATAAATGCCAACCTCATGAAAGGTCAGGACTTATGATCCAGGCCCAGGATCACAGGAGATGGGTTCTTAGGAGGCTTTTGAAATTTGCTCTGAAGGAAAATTCTCGGCACACACAGGCCTTCTTTTTTATTCACCGTCTCTCGAAACACATACTCGTTTACCACTTCTTCATAACCTGTGTCCATAAAGAGCTGGGCCAGGAATGCTGTAAGACAAGTATCAACAATGCTCAAAAGTCTTGACAATATTACATTTGCTTTGCAGTCCTTGAGGAGGAGGAATAGAGGGCTGAGACTATTTTAATATTTTTTAATGAAAACCTCAGAGCTAAAATGTAAAGGTTCTGATTAGAGAACTAATACACTCCTTCTCCTCTTCTACCCAAACAGAAACCTTTAATTAAACAATTTAATCGGAACAAAGTGAAGAACAACCTGGCGTGTGCATCTTGCCCTATTATGAATTCTCAAACACAAAAGCCTGAGTAAAAAGAAACAATTTCAAATTGGTTATATTCCTTTTTTTTTTTTTTTTTTTTTTTTTTTTGAGATGGAGCCTTGCTCTGTCTCCCAGGCTGGAGTGCAGTGGCACAATCTCAGCTCACTGCAACTTCCACCTCCTGGGTTCAAGCAATTCTTCTGCCTCAGCCTCCCAAGTAGCTGAGGGGGACTACAGGTGCATGCCACCATGCCCAGCTAATTTTTGTATCCTTAGTAGAGATGGGGTTTCAACATATTGGCCAGGCTGGTCTCGAACTCCTGACCTAGTGATCCACCCACCTCAGCCTCCCAAAGTGCTGGGAGTATGAACCATCGTGCCTGACCTGTATTCCTTTTTTGAATTAAATTCTTTTTTTTCTTTTTTTTTTTTTTTTTTTGAGACAGAGCATGGCTCTATCACCCAGGCTAGAGTGCAACCTTCGCCTCCTGGGCTTAAGTGATCCTTCTGCCTCAGCCTCTTAAGTATCTGGGACTACTTAATGCCTGGTTAATTTTTTTTGTATTTTTAGTAGTGACAGGGTTTCACCATGTTGGCCAGGCTGGTCTCAAACCTGTGACCTCAAATGATCCACCTATCTTGGCCTCCCAAAGTGCTGAGACTACAGGTGTGAACCACTGTGCCTGGCCAATTATATTCCTTTTTAAAATTTATCTTATTATTTCCCATCTCCAAACAAAAACATAAAAATTGGCAACATTCCTACAAGGTCTGCATGTGCTCAATTTGTGTACCTCAAACATCTTATTCTTCCTAACACGAAGGAGGAAAATCTGTGATCAGAGTGGAGAAACACATCCAATGGTGACCTAGCTGCAGGAAAATCTAACCCAAATAATACATCACTACACATTAAATGAAACAAGTAGGATAAATGGCTAGGTGGCAAAAATAAAGACTCTGACTATAAGAACACTGCTCCGGAGAACATGCTCTGAAGCACTTTGCAGGTATCACTGTATCTTCTCAAGATTTACAATTGGTTTAGATGTTATGAATTAAAACCGCTTTTGAATTTTAACTTATTTTAATAATTTTGCCGTTTTTTTTGTTTTGTTCTGTTTTATTTGAGACAGGTTTCTCACCTTGTTGCCAGGCTGGAGTGCAGTGGTGTGATCATAGCTCACTGCAACCTCTATCTTCTGGGGCCAAACAATCGTCTTGCCTCAGCCTCCTAAGCAGCTGGGACCACAAGTGCATGCCACCAATCCTGGCTAATATATATATTTTTAATTTTTAGTAGAGACAAAGTTTCACTGTTGCCCAGGCTGGTACTGAACTCCTGAGCTCAAGTGATCCTCCTGCCTCAGCCTCCCAAATAATTTTGCAGCTTTAATAGTAACCACTCAATTTTAGCTCATCTTGGTATCTAAAAGAATATTTCATTCAAGATGAAAAATGTTTGTTAAAGTAGAGGTTAAGAAGGTAATTATCTCCCGGTCTAGATGATTAGGCAGACTTTGTTCAAGACACCTAAAAGACTGAAATAATGTTCCACATTTTCTTATCAAAAATGACTTTTTTTTTTTTTGAGATGGAGTTTCACTCTTGTTGCCCAGGCTGGGGTGCAATGGCGCTATCTCAGCTCACCACAACCTCTGCCTCCTAGGTTCAAGTCACTCTCCTGCCTCAGCCTCCTGAGTAGCTGGGCTTACAGGCATGCGCCACCACGCTTAGCTAATTTTGTATTTTCAGTAGAGATGAGGTTTCTCCATGTCGGTCAGGCTGGTCTCGAGCTCCCAACCTCAGGTGATCCACCTGCCTCGGCCTCCCAAAGTACTGGGATTACAGGTGTGAGCCACCGTGCCTAGCCAAAAATGACTTTTTTTTTTTTTGAGACGGAGTTTCGCTCTTGTTACTCAGGCTGGAGTGCAATGGCGCAATCTTGGCTCACCGCAACCTCCACTTCCTGGGTTCAGGCAATTCTCCTGCCTCAGCCTCCTGAGTAGCTGGGATTACAGGCATGCGCCACCACACCCAGCTAATTTTTTGTATTTTTAGTAGAGACGGGGTTTCACCATGTTGACAAGGATGGTCTCGATCTTGTGATCCACCCGCCTCGGCCTCCCAAAGTGCTGGGATTACAGGCGTGAGCCACCGCGCCCAGCCTTCCAAAAATGACTTTTTAAATACCTCCTTGGGCTGGGGCATGGTGGCTCACGCCTACAGTCCCACAACTTTGGGAAGCTGAGGTGGGCAGATCACTTGAGACCAGGAGTTTAAGACCAGCCTGGCCAACATGGCAAAACCCCATCTCTACTAAAAATACAAAAATTAGCTGGGTGTGATGGCACACCCTTGTAATTCCTGCTACTTGGGAGGCTGAGGCATGAGAATCACTTGAGCCTGGGTGGTGGAGGTTGCAGTGAGCCAAGATCATACCACTGCACTGCAGTGTGGGTGACAGAGTAACAATCTGTCTCAAAAATAAATAAATAAACACCTCTTTACAGTAGATTTGCATATTTAGTTAAAAACAGATCCAGGCCAAATACAGTGACTCATGCCTGTAATCCCACCTATTTCGGAGGCTGAGACAAACAGATCATTTGAGCTCAGGAGTTTGAGACCAGCCTGGGCAACATGGTTAAAACCCCAACTCTACCAAAAATACAAAAAATTAGCCAGGCATGATGGCATGTGTCTGTGGTCCCAGTAACTTGGGAGGCTATGGTGGCTTACTTAAGTCTGGAAGGTTGGAGGTTGCAGTGAGCTGAGATCATGCCACTGCACTCCAGCCTGGGTGACAAAGTGAGACTGTCTCAAAAACAACAACAACAAAAACCCAAAACAGATCCAATCAATTCTACAGAAGAAGGTTTCTTGACTTTGTGCCATGAGAAAGTAACCTCAAGGCATTATACTATCTGATTTGCTTTATTTTTAACTAGACAAGGAGAAGTTTCTGACTTGCCCTCCCTCTTATTCCAGCACAAGTCCTAGTAGTGCAACAACATAGTATGTTGAGGCTGCCCACTAAGGGAGTCACTGACACCAGAGAAGGCTTGTGAGCTCCTCAAGGGCAGGGGCCAGGTCTGTGCCTTCCAGGTGCTGGGTAAGTGTTGCACAGCAGATGGCTTGCTTCGGGGTCTTGTGCATGTGTGCTAAGTGTACTCGAAAGCCTCCAAGCAGCCTTGCAGTGATAATGCAATCAAATAAACAGAAACAAAGAATAAAACATTTAAAGACTAGATTCCATTCATCTTACCATCAGTAAAAAAATATGATCTGGTCCCATCTTGTCTAACATAAAAGTTTTCTCCAAGTTTGCTGCCGGCTTTAAACCTAAGCATAGCATGATCATACAGCCCGTAGTCACGAAACAAGACACTTTTTCCTGGTTTTAATACCTATGAAACAAAAGCAGGCTATATGTGACTTTGGAGAACCCTGTCCAAATAAAACCTGATTAAGTTAGGACTTAAAATGAATTTGTGATCATTATTAAGGGGACAGACTGAAATACACATAATATGGAACCAAAATGGCCTATTAGTTAAAAAGATATTAAGATCAGTCAGGACTCTACAACACTAAGACACTTCTGTTTTTGTTTTTTTGTTTTTTTTGAGATGAAGTTTTGCTCTGTCGCCCAGGAGTGGCATGATCTCAGCTGACTACAACCTCCACCTTCCGTGTTCAAATGGTTCTCAAGCCCCAGCCTCCCATGTAGCTGGGATTATAGGTGTCTGCCATCATGCCCAGCTAATTTTTTTATTTTAGTAGAGATGAGGTTTCACCATGCTGGCCAGGCTGGTCTCAAACTCCTGACCTCAAGTCATCTGCCCAACTTGGGCTCCCAAAGTGCAGGGATTACAGGCATGAGCCACCTTGCCAAGCCCTGAAGACACTTTTTGAGTACCTCCAAGAGCACTCTGGAATGTCCAGTGTCACAGGTTTAAAATGTTAAGAGACCAACCTGGGCAATATAGTGAGACCACATCTCTACAAAAAATTAAAACTTAGCTGGAAGTGATGGTGTGTGCCTGTAGTTCCAGCTACTTGAGAGGCTCAGGTGGGCAAACTGCTTGAACCCAGGAGGTTGAGGTTGCAGTGAGCCAAGTCCATGCCACTGCCCTCCAGCGTGAGTGACACAGCAAGACTCTGTCTCAAAAAAATAAAGTGTTAGAGACAATAAATAAAAGTGTTATCCTCATCAAAGTACTTTCTTACAACATTGTATTCACCATCTCCTAGTACTCAAACTGTATTCAACTCCTTTTTTTTTTTTTTTAACAGTCCAGAAGTCTTTTTTTTTTTTTAACAACTATTATGCCATGCATTCATAGGGAATAGGTTCCAGCAGCTCAGGCTCCTTCCCATTGGTTCTCACACAGTACGCCTCTCTGGGTGGAGCAGGCTTGCGCTTCACTTGAACCTAGGTACCTTTCTCTTTGGCTTCTTTCTTTTTCTGATCATTCTCCTTCACGCATTTCAGGAAGCTATCTCGACTCTTAGTGCTGAATGTGCTCAATACGCACATTAATTCTCCTGGCAAGAATCTTGCCCTTGTTTGTTTACAACAATGCCAACAGCATGCTGGGTAACATTGTAGACCAGGCGTCCCCAAACTGCGGCCCGCAGGCCACATGCGGCCCCCTGAGGCCATTTATCCGGCCCCCCGCCACACTTCCGGAAGGGGCACCTCTTTCATTGGTGGTCAGTGAGAGGAGCACAGTATGTGGCGGCCCTCCAACGGTCTGAGGGACAGTGAACTGGCCCCTGTGTAAAAAGTTTGGGGACGCCTGTTGTAGACTCTTCCGGTTTTGCCATGATAACATTGGTGGGGCATTCCTTTTTGAACAGTACCCATGAATAGTACCCATTCCCTTGATGTCTACAATAGCACCTTTCTTATAGATTCCATATATGTGGCCAAAGGACAACTCCATGTTTTCTAAGAGGCCTAGAGAACATATATCAAGTGCCTCTCCTCTTTCCCTTTGTATTTGTCATTTTGGCGAATTAATGGAAGATGGAGTTTCCTCAAGTCTTTCTTTATTAAAAAAAAAAAAAAAGAACATTATTTTGGCTTTTTACTGATTCAGGTTGGTTTTCCTCATTCTGAGTCTCAGTTCTCATTTCACTGTCCCACAATATGTAGCTCAATAATGGTGCTAATGACTGATACACGCCTAGCATTTGACAGCTCAACCATATATTTTCTCATTGTATCTTCATCCAATTGTGAGACAAAGGAATGTGATTATTATTCTCATGTGAAATAAGGAAACCAATACTCAAAAGGGTTAAGTGACCATACATTAACTTTTTTTTTTAGAGACAAGGTATCGCTACGTTGGACAGGCTGGTTTCGAACTCCTGACCTCAAGTGATTCACCCTCCTTGGCCTCCCAAAGTGCTGGGATTACAGATGTGAGCCACTGCATCTGGCCAAACTGTGTCCTCTTGACCACTGAACCATAACTCCTCTCACCTTATAGCTGGACTCCATGGATTCCAGGTAACTGCAAAATCATCCTTGTCCCATGGCTGGCCAAGCTCTAAAGAGCAGCCATGCCACTACACAAATCAGAATTTACAGTGGATGTTTTATGCCAGAGGACCCCTTTCTAAACACTGACTACAGTCTACCTAGTGAGGATGGAGAGACCATGTGACTTTAGATAGTACATGAGCCTCATGAGAGAGGGTAAGCAAAAGAATCAGGACTGTCCAACCCTCAAGTGCAGGCCCCAAATGACTAACCTTGTAAATGTTTTGTAAGACAAGGTGCATCTTATTAGGATGAATAGCTGAGAGCACAAATATCAACATAACAACATCCACAGATTCTGGTGGTACATGATCCAGAAGATCATCTTTCGTCAGATCACACTGGAATACCTTGCATCTTTCTGCGTCATATAAAGGATTTTGCTAAAGGGGAAAAAATACAAATGGATTTTAATGCAACCACTATGCTGATACATATAGAAAAATACAACATCAAAAGGTGACCCCATATCCACTTGTATACATAGAAATGATCACTTTGTTACCAGATAAAACTGATGAATAAATCACTCACATATGAAGCATGTAATATTCACTGCTGCTACAAGGCGCAAGACTTCATTTTAATAAATAAATTTTAACTGAGGAAAGAATAAGAGTATCACATATTCAAAACTGAGCATTTTAGAAGCATATTATTTCCAGAGGGATGATGATCCAAAACTGGCCTCTGCTTCTTTCTGTTTCTTTAAAGAGTCAGGGTCTCACTCTGTCCCCTGGGCTACATGTAGTGGCATAATCATGGCTCACTGCAGCCTTCACCTTTTGAGCCCAAGTCACCCTACCACCTCAGCCTCCAGAGCTGCTGGTACTATAGGCAGGCACCACTGCATCTGGCTAAATTTTTATTTTTGTAAAGACGGGGTCTTGCTATGTTGCCCAGGTTAGTCTTGAACTCCTGGCCTTGAATGATCCTTCAACTTCGGCCTTACAAAGTGCCAGAATTACAGGATGAACCACCATGTCCTCCTGGCCTCTGGCTTCCTTAATTCTCCTTTGAATCACCTGCTACAAGCCTAAACCCTATGAGAAGCCCTTCCAACTCCTCTTGTTGAGATGCTCCCACAGTTCTTCTGTGATATATTTTCTCTTGATGCAGCAAGCTAAATAAAATTGACCTTTTTTTTACTACAAATGTGTCTCTGGTAAATTTTGGTTCGTAGTCTTCAACACATGTATAAGAGCATCATGAAGAAAAATATTAAACTTTTCTTTCATGTAAATGTGGACCCAAATAAACAGATATACAAAGTTACTGGATGGGAAAATTAAATGCAAAGTTAAAAAGATGTCAATTCTATTCATAATTCCATTTGTAAATCCAACACAATCTCAACTGAATCCCAACAGATTTCTAGAAACTTGACAGGATGAATCTAATTCATCAGAAAACATCTTTAAGAATAGCCAAGTCAGCCAGGCAAGGTGGCTCAGGTTTGTAAACCCAGAACTTTGGGAGGCCGAGGTGGGCAGATCACGAGGTCAAGAGATGGAGACCATCTTGGCCAACATAGTGAAACCCTGTCTCTACTAAAAATACAAAAATTAGCTGGGCGTGGAGTATCTGTAATCCCAGCTACTTGGGAGGCTGAGACAGGAGAATCCCTTGAATCCAGGAGGTACAGGTTGCAGTAAGCCAAGATCGCGCCACTGTACTCCAGCCTGGTGAAAGAGCGAGATTCTGTCTCAAAAACAACAACAACAAAATAATAGCCACGTCAACTTTTTAAATGATGAACAATGAGGTGGGTGTGGTGGCTCTAGCCTGTAATCCCAGCAACTTGGGAGGCTGAAGTGAAAGGATTGCTTTACTTCAAAACTGTAGTGAGCTATGATCTGTGTCACTGCACACCAATCTCATCTTGTAAAAAAGAAATAAAAGAATAATAAAGGAGGAGGTACACTACTGGACATCAAAATATATTACAAAATGTAGTAATAAAACACAATTTGAGAATGGAGACAAATCTATCACTGAGACAAAACAAAGTCCCAAAACAGACCTGTGCATACTGTATATATAAACAGGAATTTTATATGTTATATGATAAAAGATAGACAAAGATGACAATTAGATAAGGCAGATAAATAAAGATGACAATTATGAGTGAGGAAAAATTAACTTCTCATTCAATTTACAGTGTTCAGAAGAACTGGTTACCCATTTGAACTAAAGGACAAACACAGGCCCGCTGTACCAGTTCAAATATGGACAAGCAGCACATTAGAGAACAACTCCCTCTCCCACACCCTATCACCAAGTCTCCAAGAATAACAGTAAACTGTAGCTGGGAGAGCGGAAACACACAGACTCTTTGGGAAACAGTACAAAGGGAAGAACCAAATCCAAGAGAGGAGACAAAGCAAGCTGCTAGAGGTGTTTGAAGCCTCTGGTACCCATAGCAACAACAAACCTCACAGACAGCAACAACAGACTTCAAACAACAGCCCAATTCCTGACTAGATTATTACAAATCCCTATCCCTCAGTGTCTACCAGCCCTCATAATAACTATGTCCAGCTTTAACCAAAAAGTAGAAAATATCCCAGAAAGCAGGTAAAAATACAGTGTGAAGAGAATAAGCAATCACCAGAGCCAGACTCAAATATGACAGATGCTGATCCAAAAGCTTGGGTATTTAAAATAATTACGATTAAAATGTCAAAGACTTTGATGGAAAAGACAGATAATACGCAAAATCAGATACATAATTTCAGGGATGGAAACTATAAAAAGACTCAAAGAGAAATGCTAAAAACCAAAAACATGATAACAGAAAATGAACACTTTCAATAGGTTCCTCAATAAAACAGGTACTGTCTAGGAAAGTCAGTGAACTTGATGATAGGATAATAGAAATTACACAGACTGAAAACACAGAAAGGAAAAAATTGTGGGAAAAACCCTAAAACAACAGCATCTAAGGGTTGTGGGGAAATAGTAAATGTTACACATGTAACTGGAATTCCAGAGCGAGAAGAGAGAACAAGAGCTAAAGAAAGAATTTGAAGAAATAATGAGCCTAATTTTTCCAGATTAAAAAATATAACCAAAATTATAAAATAACTACTTAATCAAGAATTATTAAGAGCAATATATAGGTGATTATGTCTAAATCCTAGCAGTAGCTGGGCGCAGTGGCTCACACCTATAATCCCAGTACTCTGGGAGGTTGAGGCAGGAGGATCGCTTGAGCCCAAGAGTTCAAGACCAGCCTGGGATAGTAAGACCTTATCTCTAAGAAAAATCAAGTAAACCCTAGGAGTAAAGGACTCCTAAACAAGACATAAAAATGCACGTCAAAAGGAAAGATTAATATTTTGCCTTAATAACTTAAACCCTTTGTAGCCTGGGCAACACAGCAGGTCCTCATTGCTACAAAAAAAAAATTTTTTTTTTTTTGAGACGGAGTTTCTCTCTTGTTGCCCAGGCTGGAATGCAGTGGTGTGATCTCGGCTCACTGCAACATCTGCCTCCTGGGTTTAAGTGATTCTCCAGCCTCAGCCTCCAAAGTAGCTAAGATTACAAGCATTCGCCACCACACCCGACTAATTTTTTAATTTTTAGTAGAGATGGGGTTTCATCATGTTGGCCAGGCTGGTCTCAAACTTCTGACCTCAGGTGATCCACCCACCTCAGCCTCCCAAAGTGCTGGTATTACAGGTATGAGCCACCATGCCCGGCTCTACAAAAAAAATTTTGAAAATTAGGTAGACATGGTATCGCATGCCCATGGTCCCAGCTCAGGAAGCTGAGGATCACCTGAACCCACAAAGTTGAGGCTGCAGTGAGCTGTGCTTGTACCACTATACTCCAACCTAGGCTACAGTGAGACCTTGTTTAAAAAAAAAAAAAATCCTGTGTGGAAAAAAAGATAACGTAAAGCAATGCTGAACATACTAGAAAAAATATTTGCAACATATATACCACAATATCTAGAATATAACCTGAAAATAAGAAAGAAAATGACAAACCAATAGAAAAATGGGCAGAGGTTATGAATGGACAATATAAGCTTCATGTAGGTGGGAATTTTTGTCTGTTCACTGTTTAACTCCAATGCTTAAAACAGTGATTGGCACATATTAATCTCTCAATAAACAAATGTGGACCAAAGGAACTCACAGCTAACTAATGCTACCAACCTTCTACAAGGTCTTTAACCTCTCTAGTAATAAGGAAAACCAAATTAAAATATGGAGACATTTTTTGCTCACAAGATTGGTCAATATAAAAAAGACTGATATCAAGTATTGAGGCAATAAAGAAAAAGGTACCTTTATATTATTGGTGAAATTATAAATTAGTATGATCTTTTTGGAAGGAAACTTGGCATTGTCTATTAAAATGTAAATGTGCATGCTCTTCTTCCAAAGAATTCTACTTCTTCCATTTTTCATCATAGACAAATGTGCATGCATGTTTTGGGAAGCATATGCATGATGCTGATCACATTAACTCTATTTATAAGAACAAAAAATTAGAAACAATTCAAATAAATATCAATAGGGTGACTGTTAAAGTATGGTATATCCATTCTATGGAATACTGTAACAGGTAAATAAAATCTGCATGTACTAACATGAAAAACTCTGCAAAATATAATGTAGAGTGAAGAAAGCATGTTACAGTAAATATGATACCACAACTACTTAAAAAAAAATCTACCATGTATATAATGGACAAACAAGTGCTTATTTAAAACATCTAGACTTTCTAGATGTTTAGAAGTGCACAAAGTATGTTAAAATGTAGAGGCAGTAAATAACACATTTTGTAGATATCCTTTTGTTAAAATTCACTGAAGTATCACCTTTTGGAAATGAAATGATCAAACCACTTCTCTAAGCAGTATACATCATTACATTTGGGTCAGGGGAAAAGGAGGAGAACAAAGTGCAAAGGGCTTTATACCAACGTGCTTATAGTGAGGCAAGATTGACCACTGTACCTTATTGTCCATGTATTTTCTTTTACTTTGCTGAACATATAGTGTATATGATGGACAAATGCATCCTAGTTTAGAACATCTAGTTCTAGATGTTAAAGAGTTTGCCAGCGTATGACAAGAGTCAGTAAACTAACACACTGAGTCCACTTTGTGTTCAAATTCATAGGAAAGACTATTCTTAAAAACACTTAGGGAAGTGAAATTGTTAAAATCCCCTCTAGGCATTACAGATGCTTATACCTATCCACTGAGTTGATAGAGGTGGGAAGTGTTCTGTGCCAGAATGTTCCTATTTAGATGGCACTTCCAAATGACAGCTTATTATTCATGTGTACCACTTATTCAATGCTATAGTGGAAAACTTAAGTCCTATTTGGAACATCTAGTCTTTCTAGACATTTACTTCTGGCATTGCAGAGGGCTAAAGTAACAAAAGTAGAGGGCTAATGTAATATCCTTTAAGCATTTTCTGTTATTTCATAGGACTGGTTGCATTTTGGGAATGGAATTGTTGAAACTGATGATGTCTTAGAGGGTATGCTGACAATTCACTGGGTGGTAGTGGGCAGAGGGAGGAGGAAGTATGCAGAGAGCAGGATTCTGTGCCCTTGAGTCAGATTAGTTCAGATTGTCTAGCCATTGTTCTATATGTGCATCTCAGTTAATACTGCTGTATGTTAAAGGATAAACAAGTCCCTGATGCTCAAACTATGCTAAAAGTAGAGGTAGTAAAATAATCCGTTTTTTAGTTTTTAGGAAGGACTATCCTCTGGGAGTGAGCTTTGTTAACTGACCTTTTGGAACCAGACATAGTCCTGACTTAGTCACTGGAATGGTAGAAGAGGAGGAAGAAGGGGTGGAGGGAAGGGATCTTTGCCAGAATTTCCATATTTAGAAGATGGTTTGAGATGATAACCACAGGTCTGTATGTACATTTTTAGTAAAGTACCTGTGTTTATTGTGGACAGGGTTCATTATTTTGCAACACCTAACCTTTATAGACATATGTGAAAACATACAATAAAAAGCAGAGATACCCTATAACTATATATGTCTACTATGCACCTACAAAATTATTTAAAACTAGGGCTAGTGAATTTGCCAATTTATAAACAGCTTTTTGTTATAATTGATAGGAAAGATGAATGTTGGACATGGAGTTGTTAAATCACCTCTGAGCAATGTATGTATCAGGATTTGTTCATTAGAGGGGAACAGAGGGGTATACGCGTAAGAGATAGATGTATGCAGATATATTCATATTTACATTTTGACAATAGCCACTAATGTATGTTAGTTTCTCTTGGCTGTACTACGGGAATACATTAAGTAACTCAATGGAAACATATCTTCTTGGTAATATTTTAGTGGCAAAGATCCCATAATAAATTCTCTCGGAAACATTATCCTTGGTATACTCTGTTACTTTATGTTCCATTTTAAATTGAGCATTATGGCAATCCAGTCTTTTAATGGGCACTCTGCCAATACTTCTACCTAGAAGTCTGTTGCCATATTTGTCTTCTATGAAATTTTTGTCCCAAGACAGGTGAGATTATATTTTCTTCTAACAGATTGAGTTGGTGTAGGGTGTTCTTGGTTATCACAATACTCATACAGCTTTGAGACTTTCAATTGGTAAATATTCATAATGTGTGATAAGACATGATACATATTACATGATGTGTCTAATACATACACAGGACCTAGAAGGACAAGTTAAACTGTAAACTGGTTGTGACTGTGGATGACTTTGTTCTTTGCTTCTTGTGTTTCTCAGTTTCCTATAGTAAACATACTAACTTTTTAAAAATAAAGGATTTAGGTTTTCCTTTTGTTTTTTTTTTTTTTTTTTTTTTTTTTTTAGATAGGATACTGCTCTGTCACCCAGGCTAGAATGCAGTAGCATGATCATAGCTCACGTGGCCTCAAACTCCTGACCTCAAGTGGTTTTCCTGCCTCAGTCTCCCAAACAGCTGGAACTACAGGCACACACCACCACACCAGGCTAATTAAAAGTTTTCTGGCAAGGCGAGGTGGCTCACACCTGTAATCCCAACACTTTGGGAGGCTGAGATGGATGGATCACCTGAGGTCAGGAATTCGAGACCAGCCTGTCCAACACAGTGAAACCCCATCTCTACTAAAATTACAAAAAAATTAGCTAGGCGTAGTGGCAAGTGGCTATAATTATAGCTACTTGGGAGGCTGAGACAGGAGAAATGCTTGAACCTGGGAGGTGGAGGTTGCAGTAAGCTGAGATTGTACCACTGCACTCCAGTCTGGGCAACAGAGGAGAGACTCTGTCTCAAAAAATAAAATAAAAAAAAAAATAAAGGACATAAGTGTAAGAGGTAGTGCTTGATTGGATTATAAACAGCTATAGGTAGGGGGTGGTAGCTCATGCCTGCAATCCCACACTCTGGGAGGCCAAGGCAGAAGAATCGCTTAAGCTCAAGAGTTTGAGACCAGCCTAGGCAATATAGGGAGACCTCATTTCTACAAAAATTTGAAAATTAGCCAGGGTCAGGTGCCATGGCTAGCACCTATAATCCCAGCACTTTAGGAGGCTGAGTTGGGAGGATTGCTTGAGCCCAGGAGTTTGAGCCCAGCAACACAGTGAGACCGTATCTCTAAAATTAAAAAAAAAAAAAAAAATTTTTTTAAACAAAAAATAAAATACTAGCTGGGCATGGTGGCACATGCCTATAGTCTCAGCTACTTGGGAGACTGAGGTGGGAGAATCTGCTTCAGCCAAGGACGTCAAGACTGCAATGAGTTGTGATTGTGCCACTGTACTCCAGCCTGGGTTACAGAGTAAAATCATGTATCAAACAAAAACAAAAACCAGCTATAAAAGACACTTGGAAGCCAGGTGCAGTGGCTTATGCCTGTAATCCCAGCACTTTGGGAGGCTGAGGCTGGTTAATCACTTGAGCCCAGGAGTTTGAGACCATCCTGGACAACATAGTGAGACCCCATCTTTACAAAAAATTTTAAAAATTAGCCAGGCATGGTAGTGCATGCCTGTAGTCTCTGCTACTTGGCAGGCTAAGGTGGAAGAATCATTCAGGCCCAGGAGGTGAAGGCTGCAGTGAGCCACGTTCATCCCACTGCACTTCAGACTGGGTGATAGAGAAAGACCCCATCTCTAAAAAAAGTAAAAAATAAAACTAAAAGACACCTGGAACTATCTGGGGAAATCTGAATCTGGAATAGATGTTAATGACATTGGGGGATTATAGTTATTTTATTTATTTATTTAAAGACAGTCTCACTCTGTTGCCTAGGCTAGAGTGCAGTGCTACAGTCTTGACTCTGCAACCTCCACTCCCCACACTCAAGAAAGCTTCCCACCTCAGCCTCCTGATTAGCTGGGATTACAGGCGTGCACCACCATACCCAGCTAATTTTTGTATTTGTGTGTGTGTGTGTGTGTGTGTGTGTGTGTAAAGACAAGGTTTCACCAGCTGGGTACAGTGGTTCATGCCTGTAATCCAGCACTTTGGGAGGCTGAGGCAGACGAATCAAATGAGGTCAGGAGTTCAAGACCAGCCTGGCTAAGATAGTGAAACCCTGTTTCTAGTAAAAATATAAAAAATACAAAAATACAAACCCTGTTTCTAGTAAAAGATTAGCCGAGTGTGGTGGTGGGTGTCTATAATCCCAGTTACTCAGGAGGCTGAGGCAGGAGAATCACTTGAACCCAGGAGGCAGAGGTTACAGTGAGCCGGGACCACACCATTGCACTCCAGCTTGGGCAACAAGAGCAAAACCCCATCTCAGGAAAAAAAAAAAAAAAAAAAAAAAGGCTTCACCATGTTGCCCAGGTTAGTCTTGAAGTACTGGGTGCAAGCCATCCGGTAGCGTCAGCCTCCCAAAGTGTTGGGATTACAAGTATGGCAGGCCAGATTATAGGTATTTTTGCTACATATGACAAACTTATTGTGGCTGTGTACAAGGGGAAATATATGCAAGCATATTTAGGAGTGAAATGTCTTGACATCTGTAATATACTTTAAAATGGTTCAGCAAAGAAAAATTGTAAAGCAAAAGATGTTAATTATATGGGTGTCACTATTTTTCTTGAATAAAGCTGTGTTTCTGCGTACACTGTATATGTATGTAAGCAGGAAAACTACATTTGTGGTGACTATAACTGGTTAGCTCCAGGGAAGACTAGAATTGGGCAAATGGGTATAGAAGACAGATCAAACAAGATCTGCAAGAAAACAAAAACACAGCAGAATACATGGATGGTATACCAACCTTAACATATTCAACTGCTCTTGGAGAAAAATCACAGGCATAGGCAAAGATATTCGGATCTTCTTCTAAAAGTGGGAATAAACAGTTTCCAACCCCACAGCCAGCTTCAAGCACTGTTAACTTTTGATCTTCAAACTGGGGAAAAACAGCCCAAAGTTATAGTACATTACATTTGCATAACGAAGAAATAAACCAAACTAAAAGGTCCAGAATATGAGAGGTCTCTGACCCCATAGAGCAGATGATAAACAAGTGAACTAATATGCAAAAGCTAAGACTGGTACTTCATTTGTCATCCAACATTAACAGTTTGGTGTGGAGGATAAAAACAGCACAATGGCTAACTCGGCTCTGGAGTTAAACTCTCAGCACTCAAATCCCAACTCCTTAGGCAAATCACTGCTCTGTGCCTCAATTTTACCTTGGGGACAAATGAGGACAATGCTAATACACTTCACAGAGCCTGTAGAAGGCTCAAATGATAGGACATGTAAAGTTCTTAGAAAAGGGCCATGGTAAATAGTTTGCTAACATTATTACTATTATTATTATTATTATTATTTTGACTTTGTCACTGAAGTCACCCAGTATGAATTTATATTTTTGTTCTTTTTAAATTCTAATGCTTACATTTTTTAAAATTCAGAACACAGGGTCTCACCATACTGCCTAGGCTTGGCTACTTCACACAGGCACAAGCTGCCTGCCAGAGCCTCTGGAGTAGCTGGGCGACAGCCACCATATCTAGCTCTTGAATTTAATATTTAATGTTTACAACTATCACATCAGCTTAAAGAAACCGAAAACACCCTCTAAAGTTCTCTGTCCTATGTGTTAACCAAACCAGAAAATGAGAAAATTTTGGTGTTAAGACCAAACAGTATATTTCTCTCCTAAAATGCAAAGCTTTTGGATAGGCTTCTTAAATTTTCTACTTCACACTCTCCCTAAGATTGCAATAAAGCACACCTTTTTCATATTTTAAACGAAGAACAGCTCAGATAAGGTGTAGTATTAGCTTACCTCTCTACATGATCTTAGCTCCTTAAACTCTCTGGTGGTCCAGTGTCTATCTTTGAAGAAATTAGTGCTATTTCTTTTGTAAAAAAGATCCCAGTTTTTCTGAGCCTCTTGTTCCAATTTTTGCTGTTTAAAATCAGACACCAAAGTTTGGTCTCTTTTCAGTTTTTCCTCTTCTTCAGAGCTGAGAATCCTTGCCTGCAGCCCTTGCCTTTGCAAAGAAGCCATCTCAGAAACTGACGGTAACAGAAACTTAAGGCAGCTGAAGATTCTCCATCCCCAAATAATATAAATCCATGCTAATGGAGCAGATGCATTTCCTCAGGTGAGTTTCACGCCTCAAACAGCATAGGGTGCTTCGCAGAAAAAACAATGAGATTCTGGTTAGTGGTTTTAGAACAGTGCAAGACGCCAGGTTCAATTCACCAAATATTTATGAGATGCCAACTGTACAAAAAAAAGATCCTGCCCGCTATAGGAGAGGTCACAAAGAAGATCAAGACACAGTCCGTACTTCAGAGGGGATACATTCATTCAGTGGCCAGGACTATCTCATGCACCATACTTTTATTCAAACCAGATGCGTCAAGTATTACAATAAATCAATTTAGTTTAGAAAAAGGCCCTCTCACGAACTGACTGGGAAACCTGGTGGAGAAAATATTCCTCAATTTTTGGTGCCCATGAAAGGGGTAACTTAAAAACCACAATGGCCTTAGCTGGAAGCGGGTGGTCAATTGCCAGATACAAGTGAGTTCACTGTTTCCCAAGGGTCTGAGCTCCGTTTTTCCGGGGGAAATGAAGCGAAGCCTGCCTGGCGGGGGGGCTCCGTCCCTGATCGCACTCACAAGAGGCTGTCGTAGGGACCCGAGGGGGCGTCACTTTCCAGGGACTGAGGCCCTCGCACCGCTATCACGGCGCGAAGTGGAGGAAGAGACCCAGTGACGCGTGGCTGAGGTCCGGAGGATCCACCTCAGGACACCCAGGATAAACTAGGCCACGTAGGGCCCGAGACCCTGAGGAGGGCGCCCTTAATGACTAGCCGACCCGCGTATCTAGTCAGCCACGCTCAGGGCTTACCGTCATCAGTTCCTAAATTCAACCGTAGGGGTAGGGCCAGGGGCACTCAGCCCACAGCCTGCCTCAAGCTTCGGAGGCAGAATATGGGTGGCGTCGCGGCACAACTCTGAGCCAATCCTGAGGACCTCGCACTGGGGTTCTCCGGGAGGAGTTCTTTTGCCATGGCACCGCCCCCGCCACTTCCGCTGGGGACCCGGAAGTTCCTACCCAACGTCGGAAGTCCGGCGGCATTGCGGCCTCAGATTCTTCCCCTACCCCGAGGCAGAGAAGAGGGCTTGCTTGTGAACCCCTGTGGGCGCCGGCTCGGCTCTCCTTGCGCTTCAGAGCGGTGTCCTCCCGGGAGCACCGTCCTTCCAGACGCCAACGCCGGAAGCTCGGGTCGCGGCTGCGCCAGGAGAGCGCCGATCCGGGTGCGAGGTCGGTGCGGGACCATGAACGGGACCGCGAACCCGCTGCTGGACCGCGAGGAACATTGCCTGCGGCTTGGGGAGAGCTTCGAGAAGCGGCCGCGGGCCTCCTTCCACACGATTCGTTGTAAGTCAGCGCTCCCCACAGTTCCCTTCGGCCGCTCCAGGCGCCACATATCAACCCCTCCTTCCTTTCTTCCCTCGGCCCTTCAGATTCCAGGGAACCCCCTGCCAGCGTCAGTTACCTTCTCTCGAAACCCAAATCCTTTGGTACCTCGATTTGTTCCTTTCACCCAGACTATTTCTCCCAAATCTTCGTCACCCCCTTCTATTCTTCTACCTCATAGTCTCAAACACTAGTTCCAAAGGTCATTGGCCTCTTGCCATTTCCGTCCCTCTCCGACCCCCACCTCGCCCCTAAGGCAAACCTCCCCCTCCTCCACCAGGCAAACCTTTCCTCCCTTACCCAGGTCCACTTCTCCCCCCTCGACACCCCTCTTCCTTCTTTCCAATGCTCCCATCAGGGTTCCCCACATTTAAAGACAATTCTTGTTTGCTATGAGCCTCATCCACTCCCTCCGAATCCATTCTCTTCCCTGCCTTCCTCCTCCGACTTGGACCTGGACACCCAGATACTGTGCCTTGTCCCCTCTACCGCCAAAGAATTGGCATCCTCTCTGCCCTCATCAGAGTCTTCTTCCATCTCCTTTCTGTGCTTCCTTTAACTTGGATCTCTTTTGAGGTTACCTTTACCACCCTGGCTTTTCTTCCAGACCAAGTTCCTTAGTCAAATTAGAGTTCATGAGCCTGGGATAGGTTAAAGATTGGTCTATGTTTGGAAGCAGAAGAGAGGAGGCGCAAGGAATGCCGAAATAGTCATTATGCCGGACCTTCTTCTACATGATTATAGACTCTGTTGAGCGAGTGCACTTCCACCCTATGTCCTGGGTGAAGATTTGGCAGTTAGGAATTGGCTGACAGAGCATCCCTCCGTGATTCATGAACTTCTGGTTTCCGTGGCACTAACACTGTTGTTAAGACTTGTTTTTGTCAGAGGACCTAATAGATGTGACTCAACACATGTGAAGAAGGCGTCTTAGATAATGAAATTCCATCTTTGTGTGGTCACTTGCCATGCCATTACTATGCTTCCTACTGACAGATGCAGCACTTTCAGAGAGAGGAGACTGGGAATGAGATAAGAACATCATTTCCTGAACAGTTTACTAAGTTGATGTTTTCTTCTGGTGAAGGGCAAGATGGAATTTATCATATAGTTCATGTGTGCACCTGGTCTGCAGTTTGAGGCAGGTGTGAATGTGAATTAAGATGGCTATTCATGTTGAACTCTTTTTTTTTTTGAGATGGAGTTTCGCTCTTGTTACCAAGGCTGGAGTGCAATGGCGCGATCTCGGCTCACCGCAACCTCCGCCTCCCGGGTTCAAGCAATTCTCCTGCCTCAGCCTCCCGAGTAGCTGGGACTACAGGCGTGTGCCACCATGCCCAGCTAATTTTTGTATTTTTAGTAGAGATGGGGTTTCACCATGTTGATCAGAATGGTCTCGATCTCTTGATCTCGTGATCCACCCGCCTCGGCCTCCCAAAGTGCTGGGATTACAGGCGAGCCACTGCGCCCGGCCTCATGTTGTACTCTTAACTGCAATTTAGAAACACGAGCAGGATAAATTTTGGAGATACAGTTGTCTGCTCCAAACATCTACAGAAGTGTCTTGGTTAAAGCTGTGGAACTGGCCAAGAGTGGTGGCTGACACTATAATCCCAGTACTTTGGGAGGCCGAGGCAGGCAGATAGCTTGAGTCCAGGAGTTTGAGACCAGCCTGGGCAGCATAGTGAGACCCCATCACTATTCTTTTTCATGTGCTATTACTTTTGATCCTCACAACCCTAAAAAAGCAACTTACTATGGATGATGAGGCATTAATTTTCATCTCTCCCTTGGGAGAAGGTTATTTTTTTAATAAAATAACCTGAAAATTCCCTTTTCCCCCTAGAATAACCCAAAGAGGGTCAGAGGAAAAGTATGTGGAGGTGTACATGAAACAAGATTGTCCCTGAGTTGGTAATAATTGAAACTGGATAGTGGTACACCAGGGCTCATTGTACTATTCTCTCTACTTTTGTGTATCTGAGATTTTCCATAATGAAACAGTTTTTTAAGGCAGGACGCAGTGGCTCATTCCTGTAATCCTAGCATTTTGGGAGGCCAAGGTGGGCGGATTGCCTGAGTTCAGGAATTTGATACCAGTCTGGGCAGCATAGTGAAACCCCATCTCTACTAAAAAAAAAAATACAAAAAATTAGTCGTGCATGGCAGCGTGCACCTGTAGTCCCAGCTATTTGGGAAGCTAAGGCAGAAGAATGTCTTGAACCCGGGAGGCAGAAGTTGCAGTGAGCTGAGACCGTGCCATTGCACTCCAGCCTGTGAGACTTTGTCTCCAAAAAAAAAAAAAAATTGATGTTTAAGAATTCTAGGCCGGGCGCGGTGGCTCAAGCCTGTAATCCCAGCACTTTGGGAGGCCGAGGCGGGTGGATCACGAGGTCAAGAGATTGAGACCATCTTGGTCAACATGGTGAAACCCCGTCTCTACTAAAAACACAAAAAATTAGCTGGGCATGGTGGCACGTGCCTGTAATCCCAGCTACTCAGGAGGCTGAGGCAGGAGAATTGCCTGAACCCAGGAGGCGGAGGTTGCGGTGAGCCGAGATCGCGCCATTGCACTCCAGCCTGGGTAACAAGAGCGAAACTCCGTCTCAAAAAAAAAAAAAAAAAAAAAAAAAAAAAGAATTCTAAATTAGTTTTATTTTCTATTCATCTGAGTAATAACAGTTTAAATTTTTAAATGGAGATGCCCAGGAAGCCTTCTTATTAGTAACCTGGAGGATAAGTGCTTTGTTTCCTTTCCCTTTAGATGATTTTAAACCAGCATCTATAGACACTTCCTGTGAAGGAGAGCTTCAAGTTGGCAAAGGAGATGAAGTCACAATTACACTGCCACATATCCCTGTGAGTTTATTTCATTGTTTTTTTAAATGTGGGGTCACAGTGAATTTTTGTCTTTTATATTATTGCAATTTAAACTTCCTACTTTTAAAAATGTTTAGATTTCTAAAGTGGCAACATAAGCAAAAACGGGATTTGAGGGAGTGGGGTAGGGTGGACTTCATGCTAGGCAGGTGCTTGATTAAAAATAATTTTTGTAATCCTAGCACTTTGTGAGGTGGAAGTAGATGGATAACTTGAGGTCAGGGGTTCAAGACCAGCCTGGGCAATATGGTAAAACCCCGTCTGTACAAAAAATACAAAAAATGAGCTGGGGGTGATGGCGCATGTCTGTGGTCCCAGGTACTTGGAAAGCTGACGTGGGAGGATTGCTTGGGCCTGGGAGGTAGAGGTTGCAGTGAGCCAAGATCATGCCACTGCACTCCAGCCTGGACGACAGAATGAGACTCCTTCTCATTACAAAAAAAAAAAAAAAAAGATTCTTTGTCGTTTTGCCCAAGCTTCCTTTTCCCCCATCTGCTACTGAGTAGACAGGGTTCCTGTTTGGACACCTAGCCTCTCTTTTGATATAGCTTTTCTCCCAAGCAACTCCAGAGAGAAAAGCCCTAGGTGCCCTGCTGATTATATGGCCACAACAGCTCAGGAGTGTGAGGCAACCAAGCCAGGAGTTAAGGCAGGCAGGAGCCAGAGGTTTGGCACATTCCGCTGATCTAGGGATGGAGAACTAAGTTAAAAACTGGATTAAGAACCCTTGCAGAGAAAGACTTTTGTGAATTAGTGCCCAAGGCAGCACTAATCACAAAGCACCAGAGGGTCACATGATGCTCTTAGTGAACTCGTGTTATTGCATGTCACACCCCCATCCTGGAACGTAAGTTCTTGGCAGCTGGTGACAGAATGAAAAGTCTCTGGACAGGGAGATCTGGAAAGCTTTGTACTGAGGGAAAATGGTCTGCCCATTCAAACTGCTGTTTGATTACTTGTTGCCTTTGGCAAGTTACATCATCTCCCTTTGGACCTTAGTTTCCCATATGTAAAATGAAAGGTTTAGATAAATGGTCCCTAAAGTCCTTTCTAGCGCTATAGGTTTACTATATAAATAAGCAGTCAGAGCCAAGTGGTTTTTTATTCTAAGCAAGGCATTAAATACTATATTCAACAAATATTAATCAAATGCCTCCCACACATTGGCCCATCACTAGGCATGAAGAACACAACCTTGGACAAAACAAGCACATTTCTTGCCCTTGTGGAGCTTATGGTCTGGAGTTTAAATAAATATTAGAAAATACAGCAGTTATTCTAAATCAGGGGTGGCTTCCTTAAGGAAGTAACCTGTGAGCAGATTTGGAGGTTGGGTAATTTAAAGAGAGCAGGCAGGATATAGCCAGAGAAGCCTTGTTAAAGCCCAGAGGCAGGAGACAGCTTGAGGATCTGAGAGAAGCCAGTTGCCTTCTGCTTTGAAGCACATGCCCAGGGGCATCTGCTGCAGGGTAAGGTGGAGAGCCAGGGAAGGGCCCAGTAGTGCAGGATTTCCTGGCTAGTTTAAAGATTTTATCCTTTGGCTTGAGAGCAACTGAGGAGTGATTGAAAGGCTTAGGCAGATGAGTGACCCGATTGATTTATTCTGAGCCAACCAGGAAAATGACCTGCTCTTGGAGAATGCTCTGTTGGTTGCTTGACTTGAGAAGGGGAAACCCTGGACTAATTTCGAAGAAATAAAGGAATCACTCACA